CACCGATATATTTACTGCTTTATCACGTAGTATGAATAATTACAAGTTTCTTAGAACTTGTTAGTCTAAATAAATGAAGATTTACACTTCATACTTTTACAAGAAAAAATCCTAGGATTTCTTCTTTATAGTTTCAATGCTCTAGAGTAAGAATAAACAAACTGGAAGCACGTTCCACATATCATGAATGCTAGCCACCAAATTTTCAGAACAATCTTTATACTAGAAAGAAAACTCAGTTAAACTTAAAATATTTAATTATTTAGGATCAGATTTATCCTATCTTACCACAGGTACCTATGCTAGAGTTCTGTATTTCTTGCTCTAACACTTCCAGCAAGCATACACGATGAGTTTTAGTAATCAAATTTTCAATTGTTCCTAGAAATATCTAGAAAGCTTGGATTCACTTTCAAGTGTTTTCACACCTAAAATGTTGAAGAATTAAGGGGCCTAATTCATTTATGTGCTCCAAGAAATCCCACCAAGTGGCTATCTTCCTATTTAGTTACATAAATAATATGGAAATCTGGTCTTTATGAATCTAAATTTTGTTCATGTCAAAAATATAGAATTTAAAGTGCTTACCCCATCTTTAAGGATAGGATTTACTTTAACAAAATTTTTGTCTGTAGTACTAGCTTAAAGGAATAAAAGTTCAAGTGCAAATTAATTTATGTTAATACTAAATCACAATGAATATAGTGCACATTCCTATGCAGTTAGCTCAGATGGTATTACTGGGAAACAGCAGGTTTTGCAAACATGGTATCCATCAGATGCATTTCCAGAGAGGTACTTAGAAGTATGGCAATAAAAAAATACTTCTGGACAACTACCTTTGAACAACCATTTTTTCCCAGTATTTACTGGGTCTATACAGCTGGAGTACTGTGTCTAGCTCTGGGGCCCCCAGCACAAGAGGGACATGGGCCTCTTAGAGCAGGTCCAGAGGAGGGCCATGAAAAATCAGAGGGTTGGAACACCTCTCCTGTAAAGCAAGGCTGTGAGAGTTAGGATTGTTCATTGGGGTTGTTCATCCCGGAGAAGAGAAAGCTCTGGGGAGACCTTATTGCAGCCTTTCTATTTGTAAAGGGAGCTTATAAGAAAGATGGAGAGAGACGTTTTACCAGGGCCTGTAGCAACAGGAAAAGGGGCAATGGTTTTAAACTGAAAAGGAGTAGATTTAGATTGGACATAGGAAGGAATAAGGATGGTGAGACATGGGCACAGGTTGCCCAGAGAAGTTGTGGATGCCCCATCATTGGAAGCATTCAAAGTCAGGTTTCTCAAAGCCCCATCCAACCTGATCTAGTGCAAGATGTCCCTGCCCATGGCAGGAGCATTGGACTAGATGATCTTTAAAAGGTCCCTTCCAATCCAAATCATTCTATGATTCTATATAGTTATTTACCACTAAGTGTAAGAGCATTATCTTAAAAATGGACACTAAAAAAAGATATTTTTTTATTTTGGTCAAAAGTTACATGAGTGAAAAATAAACTGCCAGAGACAAACAAAACCTTTCTTCATTACCCTCGTGAATTTAGAGCACATCTCCTCTGCATCCTTCACCACATTTGCTCGCAGCATATATTTAGCACATTTAGAATTGATAAATCTGTCTGCAGTATCCAAAGACTGTGCTTCATCCATCCATTTGGCAGCTTCCTTGAGGTTACCTACATGCTGTTAGGGAGAAATTAAATAGTTAACTGTCAGTATAAGCCTGCTATTGACCAACTCCTGAAATCTATAGTTACTGGTATTTCTCCCTCAGAAATAACAAAAGGCAGTATTACTGTTCCCTCCCCCCCCGCCCCCAGATTTTTTCAGAATGACAATTTGCTGTAAGTTGTGACTTGCTTTGCAAAACCTAAACATGAGTTTTCATTTTCTTCCTGACAGAACAGTGCCCAAAAAGAAACCCCCATGAAAACCAATGCCCATAACCATTGCTAACTGAAATATTATGCACACATTCACACCAGTTTGATGGGTTGTTGGGGTTTTTTTTTCCTAATAAACTAGGCACTCTACATGTCCAAATTCACTTTTTACCTTGTAAATTTTTGCTTTTAAGTAGAATAGTTCTATTAACGTTGGAGTGCTTGCAATTGCAGCATTAATGTAATCCAAGGCCAAAGAACACTGGCCAAGTTTGTCAAAGTGCTGTGCCAAGAAATATCGAACCCAAAGCAGCGTTGTTGGGGGCTCTTTCTCTCCATTTTCTGCAAAATGGAAAAGTTACAGCAACTGGTAAGGTTGAAGACTGCATTTGAAAAACAAACACAAAAAACAAAGCTTGGGAAATTCAGCAAATATTTCTTGTAATACATTAATTTACTAGAAGGTATTACAACTATTTTCTTGCAAAAAGTATCAGCAATTCAACAGTTCTTGATAGCTGCCATAAACAGTATTATTACAGCGTAATTAATATAAGACCATAGAAACTTACCACATGTACTAAAAAGGTCACAAGTTTTCAAAGAGGCTTCGTAACCAGTAACAAGTTCTTGGATTGTAGAAACCTGCATATAAAAAAAATCAACTTAAGTTACGCTTTACTATCATGTTTACATAAATTAACACACTGAAAAAAAGTACTTGGGCAAAATTAGAGAAACTATACTAAAATAACTACTTAATTTGGAAAAAAATTGGATGTGTCCTCTTAGAGTTTACTTCACCTTTCACAAGCTACCTTTGATCACCCATTTTAACTGGTGATACAGCAGGGAAACAGGTGTAATCTTTGGCAGCTTACAGCAGAAAGTAAAAAAGGATACTAATCAAATGTACTTGATAAGTCGTATTTTGGATACGACTTATTTATGCTATTAGTTTAAGTGTCCAAACTGAGCCAACTGAAGAAAGGTGCTTTGGAAAAGACTCTGCGTGAACTTCCCATAACAATGAAGATATAGAAGAGACTTCTGTGGTTTTCTGGCAGGCTGATGTGTACTATTTAAGGTTTGGTTTTCTTTGTTAAAAAGGTATTGTTGCCTAGAATACAGGCTGTATCTTTTTACATGAAAATTTATGTTGATTGATTTAAGGCTAATACTTTCTGAAATCAGACCTTGTCAACAATATTGTTGTTCATTCCAAGGCTGAAGAGTCAAAATTCACTCATACAGTTTTGAACTCACACTATGCAAGTTCAACATCTACAATACATACAAATGTTAGTATCTGTCCATTTCATGACAATGAACTATTCCAATACCAGGTCCATGGCTTATTGTATTATTTCTAAGCATTTTATAAAATGCTCAACCTGTTTTGTTGAGCTACATTCTAACCATGCCTGCCATATCCAGCAAGTAACCAGCCTCTTAAGGAAACAAGAACAATAGTAAAGAACAAAAAGAAACATGATCTATGTATATATACCCGAAACACAGAAGACACTTAAAAAATAAGATCTGACTGTAAGCATAAACAGGATAATGGCTACATTCACCAATCAGGTGAAACCTATAGCTGGTAAAAACCTAAAACTTCAATGGTTAAAAGTAACATGATCCTACATTAAAAAAAAGTTGTTTGCGTGAGTAAAATAAAAAATATCACAGATAGACAGCAAAATTTAAAAAGCAGGATTTGACAAAGCACGCATCCACTTCAAGATACACTTTGGGAGAGGAGGGGAAGGGAATAAACTTTGTTCTAAAAGATCAAAGTATGCAAAATGAAGAATACTACTTTATTTAAACTAATTCAGCACAATAGGCAAGAAATGTCAAACATTTTGTCTCAAAGAGAGCAGAGAAGGTGGCACACCCGAGTCATACACAGCCAGTGTAAATGTCTCAAAAGTGTAATAAAATGTATAAACACACACATTCTGGAAAGCTCTGCGCAAATCTCTTAAGAAATGGTTTCTAGTAGCAAAAATCTCAAATACAATAAAATGTTACTAGACTTCAGATAACTATGAAGTGATAAAGGAATGTAAAGAAGTCACAAATAAATAGACAAAGGCAAATAAATGCATTAAGCTGTTCTCTGGCCTCAGACATCTATTTACTGAAAGAAACCTTCAACAACCTCAGAAAATCTTTGAAGATTCTCTTCTCTAAAATGAGTTTAAATGCAGAAGTAAGCATCTGCTTCAGGTAGCAGGCTTGCAGTGTATATGTGCAACAGAGTAAGTGTTATTTCCGTGCTGCTTTTCACCGCAACCTCAAAGTATTCCCAAAGTTATTCTCATCTGGCTGTTAGTAAACTCAAATTCCTTTGAGACCAGCCAGCTTTGCTAGACTGCAAGTGAACTGTGTGTAAAGGGAGAAAGACCCCTTCATATCTTTAACACACACACCCCACCACCAAACTCTACGTGTAATTTTTTCCACTACTGCACACTTGGAGTATGGCTTCACAGCTGGACAAAGACCATGCTACCACCAAAAGAATGGTGCCACCATCACTGAGCCACACATGCCTGGTCCCTGCTTTAGGCCAGGGCTAGTGGCTGCATCCAGACTTACAAGTGATTTACTCCCTGCTCCACCTCAGCATACAGATGCCCCGTTACTAGTTCCATCATCAGTGGGAGCTGGCAGTGGACAGGCCTGTGGCAGTGAGGCAGTAAGAAAGCCTCTCTTCCTAGCAGGAGGGTCTTCAATCAGCTTACAGCAACAGTGAAATCAAATCCGCTGATCTTGAGTTGATGGAGAACACCAAACTGTACCATGTTTTAAAAGATGCTAAGTTCTTCCAAATTCAGAACTCTGCAGTGGTTTTGGCTTCTACAGTCCAAGAAACTACACTGGAATTGTCATTCTGAAAACTACTTTAAACAATACATTTGGAAACAAGTATTCAGTGAAAGCAACAGCTACAAAAATAATGCAAATCAGGTGGTTAGGTTCTTGCAGACATTCTTGATGAAAGTGACAGTATCTTTGTTTCTCATGACTACTCAGAATCTTTTTCCTCCCTTTCTATGCTACTGTTTCAGTCTCTTGCTAGTAATTTAGGAAAACAATTCCCAGTTCATGTGCTACTTCAGGGAACAAATGATCTGGAAATATGAACCCTAATTTCTGTGTCTGTATTAACTGCAAATTTAGTAGTAAAATCTCTTGTATTTACTATCATTTATTATCTGTATTCTAGAATCACCACTGCCATCTTAAAGGCAGTAATATTTTACTATTTCTACACACTAGGCATTCTTCATAAAGGTAACTTTACAATTTCTAAAAATCAAGCTGAGGTATCTGGAAATACCATGACACTGACCATAAGTTAAATTCAAATGGTATCGTTCTAGGAAAAGAGTTTCCATTACTCCCTTGCCATGGATCTGAAAAAGCTTAAAGGTATTACAAAAGCATTACTGAAGTCATCAACAAATCGCAGGTTTTGTTATGACAAGAATGAAGCCAATTCTAGAACTGGGGCCACCAGTTTCAGGAGCCTCTTAAATAATCAAAATGCAAACCTCAAACCTTTTCATAGGTCACTACCTATAACTTCAATTTCATTACAAAAGAACAATGAGCTAAGAAGCATGAATCCAAGAAGGGGGAAACGGGCTTTAGCCTTCCCCATTAGCACAGACAAGTGAAGTGCTTGTTTTCCCTCCTATACCTTACATAAAGATTAAAATTGCACACGCTCACAAACCAGTACAGATTCTTGTCAAGTGTAATAATCTTGAAAGTTAAGAAAGCATCTTCCCCACTTGGTACTACCTGAAGCAAAGACTCCACAAAGGCCAGAACGGTCTTTTCTTTCCATTCCTCTGTTTATTTCCACTGGAAAGGATAGTTTCATAAGTAAACTTTGAGTAAATGCCTTAAAATGAATATTTGAGAAATACAAACTGAGACTGGAATAAATGTCATGCATACACATCTTAATTTCTTTTTAAACTGTAAACAACAGGAACACAATTCACCTGAACCCCAATTCTGAATTCCTTTTTCCTGTGAGCATTTGTTTTTACTTATCTAATTATACTGAGAAATATTTTGTGTCCTCTTTTGTAAGGGACAGCCTAAGGGAAAGTTATTGTTTTCCAGGTAAATGGCTGATGGCTAGAATTCTTGTATCATCACTTGTAGCTATTACAGCAGCACCTATGGGCCAGTCATAAAATAGAAATCTGTGCTGCATGCTATGCCATATACCAAGGGACTCCTGCCATAGAAATTTTTCTTTAGACGAAGAGCAAGAGAGGACTATCCAAGATAAGAACAATAATATGGGGATCCAAAATGTGATGTTAGGGCTACAGTAGCCTAAATCCTAGTTTGATCCCCGCCCCCCCATACTCCATGTAGGAGGTAAGTTGAATGTAATGACAAAGGAATAGAAGTAAAGAGAAAAGCAATACAGAAAGGTTTTTAAGAAATTTATGTAACAAAGGTGAGGTACGTAATGGAAGATGAAATCAACAGCCTACTAGCACAAAGCAGGGATGCAAATTTTTCAAATAAAAGGCTCAAACTCTCTAGTTCATTACTACAGAAGTTAGATTACTAAATTGATTGTATATCCTATTATTACAGCAGTTGGGCAAAATATTTTATAATAGACTTCTGTTTCAATGACAGCCTTTAAAACACTAATACTGTATTTCCTTCTTCAACAAAACAACTGCAAGAAAAGGAGCTGAATTATCAATACCAATCATATAGAAATATCTTAACATACTATAAACTGGTCAGGCTCAAGCTGTACCAATAGCCTTTTTTTTTTTTTAAAGGATTCGGCCTGTTAATTTATCAGTCACAATCACTACATTTAAGTATTTTTTTCAGTTGCTGCCATTATAAACCAGTAAGAAGTTACCAGCATTCTCAGCACACAGATTAAAAGCTACTGTAGGCAGTTTCAGAAGCAATCCATATGTTTAACATTTGGCACAGGTTTGAATCCCTGCCTTTTGAATTCCTGCCAACATGTTTAGTATTATCTACACTGCTCTCAAAGGCAAACAACCAAAAGGCAAAGTTTGAATACTGCTACTGAGATATAAAGTTTCAAGGTACATCTATAAAGCTGCCCAAACAAGAAAATATGCTATTGACCTGTAGATATAGATGCAATGGTCATCTTAAGAAAATTTAGTTATGCATTAGTGTAGAAGAATCTTCAGGCAAATCCCAGAAATACTTTAGAAAGATGTGCTCTAGTATGTACTTTTATAAAAAGATTTAACTCTTACAAAATTCATACATATGTACACTACTGAGACACAGGCAAGGGGTACATTATCTTGCCTTGAATACCATCAGCAATGAAAAGGATACAAAACAGTGGGGCAGAGTGAAAAGACAGCAGACAGGAACAAGATCACACATTACTTGGCACAAATATGTGCAGAGTGACATTTAAATCACCAAAATGGCCCATCATCATGCATCAGATGGATCACTTTGGGAATTACCACACAGCAGGAGACTGATGCTTTAGAAAACCACTCTGTTTCCTTATGGCATGCCTAATAATCATACATACCAGAAGCTAAGTATTTGCACGTTATTTTCTAAGAGAACTGAAACTTTTTAAAGAC